CGGAACTGCTCGTCTATCTCGTCCAGACCAGTTGGACGAGATGTTTTGAGAGTTCGGAACCTCCCGGACAAGTCGTCTAGCTCGTCCAACTCGCCCTCCTGCAAAGGATATTTTTGTGTTTGTCAGTTGCAGGTAAGTTAAATATGCACCAAAGGAGTTACAAAACCTATGCACCGTGTAAAATAAAGACACCGGTATGATAAAAGAGTGAATATTTACATTCGAGCCGGTTGCATTCTCGGCAGAAAGGGTCTTGGAGGTTCCGAACGCGGCCCACTTGCCCTGCTGGTCCTGGACGAGCAAGACGAGCAGTTCCGAACGCAGCATTATTGTTTATCATCATATTTCCCGGCTTTAATATAGATCTCTAGCCTCCACTTTTTCACCACAACCTCAACCTCAACATAAACATAATCAACATGAACATCAACATCAACCTTAACATTAACATTAACATCAACAACAACAATCCCATCAACTGTCACAGTGACAATCAACCTCGACCTATTCTTTTTAGCCTCCAAGTGCGCGTGGCACCAAGACGTCGCCATGTCGGATCAGCGGAAATTCTGCGACAGTTACGATGGCTACATCCGCCTCTGCAGGTGCCACGACCCGGTCACTTCCGGCCTCAGGTACTCTGCTGTAAGTATGGGGAATCCGAGGTCGTATTTTCATTGTGGTTCTGAGGATATGGGTGGGGGTATGTCCTTTATGTTTTTCTGTTTCCATTTGTCATTTTTTTTCTATGTCTCTTTTTCTGCTCCTGTGTCTGCTTCTTCTTTCTGACGCGTCTGTTTCTCTGTTCTCCAACTTTGTCTCCGTTTCTATCTATACTGCTGCCTCTGTCTATCTCTGTGTATGACTCTTTCTCTTTCTATTTCCTCCCTTCTCTCCCCAACCTCACTTCCTCTCTCTCCCTTCTCCACTTCCTCTCTCTCCCTCTCTCCTTCCCTCCATTCCTCCCTTCTCCCTCCTCTCTCTCCTCCTTCCCTTTTCCCCTTCCTCTCTTTCCCTCCCTTCCTCTCCCTCCCTCCTTCTCCCTTCATCCTCCCCCTCCCTCCCTTTCCCCCTTCCTCTCCCTCCTTCCTCCTCCCTTCTCTCCTCCCTTCTCCCTCCCTCTCTTTCCACCGAAGAAAAGCAAAATAACGTCCCACAACCCCTGCAGCCGAGGATCGAGATGCGCGAGGTCATTCCGGTGGCGATGCTGACAGCCATCAAGCCCTTCAACTTCTACAGGTCAGTAAGAGGTTGAGCAGACCCGTCCTGCGCATACTAGCTCTACCCGTAGCTAATGCCCATGCCTATAGCTATGCCATGGAACTGTACTTTTTCCAAGTCTTTTTCTTTTGGATTTTTTTTTATTTTTATTTATTTTTTATATTAATCGTTTTTTTTCTCTTTTTGATTTAGTTTTTTCTTTATATTTTGGTTTATTCTTTCCAGACAACTTCTGAACCTCCTTGAGACGCCCGGAGCAGCCCAAACGCCCATTCTCGTCCTCATAGACGGACCTCAGAAGGAGATCATACGCTTAGCCAAGTTGTTCGGGTGAGATGTGGCCCATTAAGTAGTTGTTTATCTTCAGTTGCTTATGTATCTATTCTGTTTATGTTTTACCTGTTTGCTAATGTTTTTTTATTCTACGATTTATTTTCTTATAAGCATTTTACTTTTCTAAAATCCAAGCATTTGATCATGTGTGCTAGCGTGTTTGATCTAATTTCACTTTGTGACGAAGCTTGACTGTATTTACTTCTTCGTCGCCTTCGTCCTCGCCCTCGCTTGTCCTCGTCCTTCGTCATCGACGTTGCCTCCGTCTTCCTCTACGTCCGAGTCTTCGCCCTCAATTTTGTCCTCGACTTCGTCTTCGCTTCTGTCTTCCCCTACGCCCTCGTCCTCGCGTTGGCTTCGTTTTCTTCTTGGTCGATGTCCTCGCTCCTATCTTTGTCTCCTTCGTCATGGCCTCCGTCTTTGTCTTCGTTTTTCTTCCTCGTCTGCGGCCTCACCTCCGTCGTCTTTGTCGTCGAATTCTTCCTCGTCTTTATCTTCGTCCTTGTCTTTGCCGTCGCTTCCGTCTTTGTCTTCGTCTCCTTCCTCGTCTGCGTCTTCTTCCTTATCATCGTCTTCGTTTTTTTCCTTATCCTCGACTTCGTATTCTTCCTCGTCTTCGTCACCTTCCTAACACTTATCTTTGTCTTCTTCCTTATCCTCGTCTTCGTCTTCTTCCATGTCTTCGACTTCGTCCTCGCTCCGTCTTCGCCTCCTCCGTCGTCCTCGTCTCCAACGCCACTGCGCAGGTTGGACGTCCTGATCCACCGACCGCAGGGCGAGAAGGGCAGCACTACACTCCTGAATATGCATTTCCGGTAAAATCTCTTACTTATTTCCCTGTCGTTTTACCCCTCCCTATATACCGTAAGAACCGTGACGTATTACCCCTCCCTATATATCGTAAGAACCGATACATTATATACTTCAATAAATATTTCACTTCACATACATGTTCAGAGAGCAAGAACACGAGACACACATGCTTATATCGTTGTTTCTATGTATACCATACGTGTTTACACTGTCTTCCCTCCCCAGTTTCTCCGTTCACAACGTGTTCAACTTCTTCCCAGAGGTCGACAAGGCTATCATCTTGGAAGACGATTTACTGCTTTCTCCAGATTTCTTATCGTGAGGCTCATCTTCGTATTTTTGTTGGCTCTTCTGTGTTAAAAGTAACGTCTGTATTGTTTTATGTGTTAAAATGGATCAAACATTTCGAATCATATTCACTGCATAAAATACTTGTAAACATTTTATCTCATTAAGTTTTTAAATTATCATCACACTTACACTGCTGCCATCTTCATCACTCTTGCTGGCACCACTACATCTTCGCCCTCCTTACTGTCTCCATCCTCACCCTCGTCACCTCAACCGACGTCGCTCCCAGCCTCATCACCAAGGGAGTTCGAACCAAGGCACAGGTAAGCACAGGTCTCGTCACTTCGGAGTTCTGCGCAGCTTCGGATGATAAGGCCTATGACGTCACCGGGCGTGAGCTGAGAGCGAGGGGGGCGGGGGGAATAGAGCATGGTAGATTGGGAAGGAGATAATTAGAAAGCGGTAGCAAATGAGCAAATACTTAAGTAATTTTATATTCCGGAATATTGAACGATTTGCATATTGGACAGATTTTACAGGCAATGACTGTCAGCGATTGTAGGTCTATATCGCATTCAAGTTTAGTAATGCTCATTCTACAGCTTAAATATGGCATAATTAAGAAGTAAAATAAACACAGAGGACATGGCATATTTGAACTCCAAATGTTTTTGATGAATTAGTGACGAGATCTGTACTTATTTAGACCTTGATTCGAACCACGTAGCTCCGTCTTGATGAAAATCCTTGTTGGCAACTTCCGAGCTAAGCCCCGCCTCTTTGCCTTTATTCACTGCATATATTGAATATTCTTTTAATTTTTTCTTGGTTTCGTTATCGTTTATATTTCTACTTTTGTTATTACTGAATAATTTTCAAAGAAAATACACTGGGAAACACAATAAAATATCGCTAATTGACCGGGTCAAATGAAGGGGCAGAGCTAATGACGTCATCACGTCAAGTGGAGTGCACTTTGAAATATCAGGTGTAGCTAGATACGTAATTATTAGTATAATTTACTCGATATTGTTATAATTACCAGAAGTAACACAAAAATTCCCCTCATATTTGATAACGCTGAGTTCCTTACCATTAACAGCTGTCGGATTTCTCCAGGGAAAAGTCAGGCTCATTTTTTGGTTTAAAAGGACAAATGGAAGTGGAGATATCTGACTATATGCTCCCTGTTCATCACTTAGCTGACACCACTCACTGACTCCCCTCAATCTCATCACCCTCATCTGACACCAGCCCCAACCTCATCAGCCTGAACTGACACCAGCCCCAACCTCATCAGCCGGAACTGACACCAGCCCCAACCTCATTACCCTTAACTGACACCGCCCGCTTATCCCTCAGCTACTTCCAACAAACGGCCTGGCTCCTGGACGCGGATCCTACGATCTCGCACGTCAACGCCTTCTCCACCAACAGCTATCCTGACGTCGCCTACGATCCTACAGTCCTGAGAAGGATTCAGATGTTTCCTCAGTTCGGGTGGATGGTGAAGCGGAAATGGGCGCAGGAAATATTTCAGTTTTGGGTCCCTGAAAATGTATGTATACGTGTCTCGTCTCGGTGTAGGTAGGGTGCTGTGAATGTGTTATGAGGAGGCTGTATTTTATTGTGGTTGTGGATGGTTGAGTCCTTGTGAATGATTTACGGTTGATGTGTCTTCATTGTAATGGATTCCTGGTAATGTGTGTTCATTTTTTGTTTTACTTCGCTGATAGGTGTTCATTTTAGTAATGCTCTCTTGAAAAAGAATTCGTGTATAGGAGGTGTTCATTTACGTTTTGTTTGCTTGGAAATATGTATATAGGTGTCCCTTTCAGTATTGTTTCCCTGAAACTAGGTGTACAGAAGGTGTCATTTTAGTACTGGTTCCCAGAAATGTATATGTAAGAGTAAGAAGCTATTTTAGGTCCCTCAGAAAGGTTCCGTTTCACATTGTGGCTCTCTGTATATGGGTTTTGCAAAAGCGCGTAATGGTTATGAATGTGGAAGAATATAGGACGCGTGAAAATGGTTTTTACAACGGATGTTTGTGTGCAATTTATTCTCTTTTTTCGTAGCTGTTATTTGGCTTTTACTTTTTTCTGTTTGTTTTTTTTTTGACCATCTGTCTCTGCCTTCTCTCCATCTGTTGCTCCCCCTCCTCTTCCCCCCCTCATTTTCCCTTCCTTCCTCCGTCTTACATGCCCCCCTCCTTTTTTCAGCCTTCTTCTCCCCACATCCCCATCACCCTCCTTCTTTCCTTGCCCCGTATTTCTCCCTCTCTTCCTAAACCACCCTCCTTTCCCCCTTCTCTCCTTCTCTTCCTCACTCCTGCTCCTTACCTCCTACACCCGCCTTTTCTTCCCGTTTCTTCTCTTCCTTCTCTCCCCTCCCCCTTACGCCTTCTTCTCCTTCCCCCCCCTTCTCCTCAGCTTTTCATTCTCCCTTTTTCCTCCTCCCTTCCGTCTCTCCCCTTCTGCCCCTGACCCCTTCCCGCCCTCAGGAAACAGCTGACTGGGACTGGTGGCTCTCGGGCGCGAGGCAGCGGCAGGGGAGGGACGCCCTGCTGCCCGAGGTGAGCAGGGCCTTCCACGCGGGCGCGGCGGGAGCGCACGTGACCGGGTGGGCGCAGGAGCACCTCTTCAACAACATGATCTTCAACCAGGACCCTCATGTCAAACTCAAAGGGCTCAATGAGTGAGTTTTCTTGCTGTTTTTGTTGTCTGGCTCAAGGACTCAGTGAGTTTTTTTTTCATTATTTTGTCTTTATATTGTATGTATTTTTCATATCTGCATGTTTGTTGATGTATTTATTGAATGAATCTGCTATTTGCGTTTGGCATGGAGCTAAATGTTATTTCTATTTTTCACCATACGTAGCTTGAAGTATCTTTCTCATCGCGGATAATTAGCAATATATATATATATTTTTTTCAAAATGAATAACTTCCATCATAATTTGCCATTTCACCCCAACCCCCCTTTAAAAAAAAGTTCTGCCATCAACCCAACTCCGTCTCCCTCAGCCTGACGAAGGATCGGTACGAAGCGAAGATCCGGCGAGACATCGAGCGAGCTGTTCTGCTCAACCTGACGAAGTCCCCGTGCGACGGCCCGATCCTCCCGCCCGACCATGTGAGTCTTAGCTTGACCTTTGACCTTCTCTCTCACGTCGGCTTTACGTATGGGGGAAGGAGCATACAGGACAGTAAGGGGTATTTTCACAAGAGTACAGAGAGCACTCTTTGTGCCGACTCCCCCCCCCTCCCCCTAAAAGCGTACTCCCAAAAATGTTGATGCCAGAGGCGCCCTTGAGCAGACAGCGCAGCCCCGTGAAAAAGTTCCTAATAGTCATGCTACTCCTTAAAAGCTTGATAGGGGATCCCTTTCATAATTAGGGTCATTTTCACTTGGGAGAAGTATCGGGATCATTTTCAGTAGGGACAAGACAGGTAAGTCTAAGAAATCTTTCATCCCAACTATTGAATACACAAACTTTCAACATGAGTGAATTTATTGACCGTTTATGAAATCAAGAATACAGTCAAAGTCAAGGCGAGAACCACCCTTACTGCCCATGCTGTTGCCAGGCGTTTCTTTAGTTCCAGTAGGACGTCAGCCTCTGCACTCATTTGGGTCAGTTACCTCGATCACAGATGCAGTTAGTCCTGTTGCAGGGAGGCGATATCCCGAACCCCACATGCGGTTCTGAAGTCAGCTGTGCCACTCTCCCTGGCGCCATCCCGTTCAAAAGGGAGTGAGTCAGAGATCCGCGCAACAGTGCGCCTTTCTGCAACACCTTCCGCTTGCACCTTTGCTTGCAATTCTACATTGACGTCTAACCTCGGATACGAAATATGAAATATTATTGGGGTTGTTAATTTTGAGTACTGAAGATTACTTTGTTTTTGTGTTTTAAGGGAATTATGAAAGGCGCCATGAGTGCAATTTTGAGTGCGCATAGAAGGATATAGTCTAGCACATTTTTTAAAAGCCCATCATACTTTTTTTCTTCTGACGCTAATCACTGACCAATATTTGGGTTGCAGCTTGGCCACGAGTGGGATGTATTCGAACACAAGTACAAGTCTGCTTTTCATTTCCATTATAAAAGGTTATTGTATACTTATTATCTAATTTACATTTCTTATGATTTCCAGCCTGGACCCTTCAAGCTGTTCGTGGGCGCGAAGACGAACAACGACGAGTATGACAGCTTTTACGTGATACAGACGGTGAGTCGCGCGGGAGGGCGGGCGGCACCAGGCGCCACGAACGCCTCTCGCCGACCGCGCCCAGAGACTGCAGGGGCGTGGAGCCGTTGCTCGGGACATCACAGCACACACACACACGCACGCACGCACGCACGCACGCACGCACCCACACACCCACACACACACACACACACACACACACACACACACACACACACACACACACACACACACACACACACACACACACACACACACACACACACACACACACACACACATCACAAAAGAAAAAAAAGAAAAGAAAGAATAATGGATGTACATGTATGAATACATGTACATCCATCCATATAATATATATATATATATATATATATATATATATAGAGAGAGAGAGAGAGAGAGAGAGAGAGAGAGAGAGAGAGAGAGAGAGAGAGAGAGAGAGAGAGAGAGAGAGAGAGAGAGAATGTGAGAACTAGGACTGTCATTCACCAGTATATCCATTTTTTCTAGAGAAGTTTCCATTGTTTTGAAAGACTTTTTTTATTCATTTCACCATCATCACCATCGTCGTCGTTGTCATCATCATCATCATTAGCACCACCACCATCATCATCGTGTTCGTCCTCATCATCACCATCACCACCATCACCATTACCATCATCGTCATCATCATCTTTAGACAATAACCCTATTTCCTAAATTGAATTGTTTAAACCTCATTGCCAAAACATGTAAAACAAGTAATTATACAGATGATTAATAATTCCACTCTGGAAGATACAATAAGTAATGTTCGACTATTACAAAATACCTAGAATATGTCACAATGAATATAAACCGCAATTTAATATTAATTAGCATTTCGACTTCACATTTTCAATTCCTTGGAATCCTTTGATATATATGTCGCTAATGCTGCTAATAAACAATATGTAATAACATTGTAGTGACGTATATTCAAAATAACTTATTTTTCTCACTCTAATATCTAGTGACGTAACTTCATAATCACTTTCTAGTGACGTGTCTTCATTATAACTTACTTTCCTCGCTGTAACTTTCAAGTGACGTATCTTCATAATAACATCTAGCTTTCTAGTGACGTGTCTTTATAACGATTCCTTTCCTTACTCTAACTTTCTAATGACGTTTCTTCATAATAACTTCTCCTCCTCACCCAGTGCCTCCATGGATACATCCAAGACACGAGGGAGATGTTCCGAGGGTCCTTGAGGTACAACTTGAAGGGGCGTCTCCTCTACGTCATAGGCTGCCCTGCGTCTCCCTTCTGGTAAGTGAGGTTCGGAAGAAGAGAGGAGGAACACGGGGAGAAAAAGGGGGGATGGGAGAGAGGGTGAAAAGATGGAAGAATTCGGGGGGAGAGAGGCAGGAACACGGGGGGATAAAGGGGGAGTAGGAGAGATGATGATAAATAGAATTCAGGAAGAACAGGAACAAACATAGGGGGAAAGGGGGATGGGAATAAAGATGAAAGGATGAGGGAGGGGAAGAAAGAAATGATGAAGAAATGAAGGGAGATGGGAAGGGGAAGGTGGGAGGGGTGGGATGGAGCGAAGCAAGGAAAGGGAGATTGGTGAGGGAAAGAAGAAGGAGAAAAGGAGGGGCGAGAATGAAAATTAGCGTAAAGTGGGGGGAAAGAGCATTAATTTAAGGAATGTAAAGAGTATAGAACCTAAAGAAATTAACATTAAAGAAACGAAAAAAAAGGAAAAATAACGAATATCAAAAAATAAAAGTTTACCTTCATCCTCTTCTCCCGTTTCCTTCAGCGAATCGAACGGCTTCGTCAATCTCCTGACGCCCTCCGCCGAGCTCGTGGACAGGGCGGGCGAGGCCGTGTACCCGTGGCAGACCCGCAACTACCCGCCCTTCTACCTGGAGCGCTTCCCCGCCCAGCTGCCCGAGGAGGAGTTCCACATGCGGAATCTCCTGTACGTTTACCACAACGGCACCCGCGTGTTTAACGAGAAAATTGGGAGCGTTAAACACATAGAATGAGGGAGATAGAGATAGAAAGATGAGAAGAGGAAGATAAAAAAGGAGAAGAAGAAAGAAGGTGAAGCTCTGTTGCCGCCGAAGTGGTATTGGCCGGAGAAGGCAGACTGGGTCATGGAAAATAAATATATATTTTAGATCTGATTTTATTTCCTTCCATAATCTTTTTTGTGTAATAATCTTCAGAAAACAAAAATGTTGGACTGAGAGAGAGTTGAGTGAGTGGAAGGAAGACCAACAGAAAAATAAAAGTAGAAGTATATCCAGTAGTAAAAAGAAACACACACACCTATAAACACACACACACACACACACACACACATATATATATATATATATATATATATATATATATATTATATAATATATAGAGAGAGAGAGAGAGAGAGAGAGAGAGAGAGAGAGAGAGTGAGGGAAAGAGTGAGGAAAAGAGAGAGATTATAAGATAATCATAATGATAATAAAATTATCATTATAGTAATGATTATAGAAAATTGAGAGAGAGAGAGATTGATACAGAGAGGGGGGGGGAGTAAGACATAAGATAATAAAAGATTGTATTGATAATTTAAAAAAATATTATCATAGTAAGGATAATGAAAAAATAAGATAGAGACAGATATACAAATAGATAGATAAATATGTAGACAAGAAAGAGATAAACTAATGTAGATAGGAACATATAGGTCTATGGTAATCTTACTGGTAATAGTAACAATAAACATAAGGAAGGAATTGATTTATAACCAAATAATGACACCGCTGCCCAAAAAGTTCCTTCATGGCAGATAGGCCTACGAGTTTGCAATATATCTAAAGTTATAAAGATTAATACTCATTTGTCCATTTCAAGGGCGATTGCAAAGGAAGTTTATCATATGTTTTGTCTACTTAAATCGAAAGCATTAGCATCTATATATTCACAATAATGCATTCAATCTCATGACTCTAATGTATTACAGTGAAGATGTCGACCTTTATTTTATCGCTGGAAGCTTAAATCGACAAAATATTTGATGCAGTTGGTCTGAGAAAACCTTTGGACTCACATACCGCCACATTGTTATACTGCACATACTGCATTTAACCTAATGCTGGTTCACTGCACCACGCGAGGTCCATCCTCGTCGAGATGTTGCCATGAACATAATTATCACTATTTTTATATCATCAATTTTGTCATTCATATCATCACCATTATCTTTATCACCATTACTGTTATTTGTATTATCATTGTAATTACCATTATTACCATTATCATCATCATTGTTATTATCATTTGTATTAGTATTATACCATTATCATTAATATTTTTATTGTCAACATGTGCTATCATCCTCACCCTCATTCCTATATCTTTTGCTATTTCATCGTAATTGTTGTGTTGAATCTCAATAGTTTCAAGGAAAATGAATAAGAATAAAAATGTAAATGAAAAAATAAAGATAAGAGAGAAAAAAGAAAAACGTATGGAAGGAAAACTGATGATGATAAAGATAAGAAAAGGAAGTGTTGAAAAGTAAACGACTTCCTCAAGAACTATAAATAAACACTGCATCCTGCCACGCAGTATCACATCGGGTATAGCCTCCCGCGGACAGAAAATAGGAAAATAAGGAAAACAAAACAAGGGAAACCCGCGTCGCGCGCCTCCTGCCGGATAAAACCTCAAACTTCTCGCGGACGTTTTATTTCTGACAGTCCCATGCGCATTTACGTCGTTATGGACTGTTCGTAATAAAGAATGAACAAGGAAGAAACAGAAAAAAGATAATTAGGAGACTTCTGTATTGCTGAGTTTGAAGAATGGCTGTCGGAAAACGGGCGTGGGGGATTCAGATCGCGCTCCTCTTCGTGACGCTCGCCCGCGCCAACGCCTCTGCGGGGCGGAATTTCCCGACGGAATGGAGGAAGATTTCTGGTAGGTAGACCTGAGTGATTTTGTATGTTATGGTGATACTGGCGCGCACGCACGCACACACACACACACACACACACACACACACACACACACACACACACACACACACACACACACACACACACACACACACACACACACACACACACACACACACACACACACACACACACACACACACACACTGTGCTGACTACATGAATGGATGCAAACATGCGCTTTCATTCACCAATATCAACTGCAAAGAAACTGGCAAGTAAATCACCTTTGTGTACTGACTGTACATGATACGCAATACTGAAGTGGCAGCATCGTCATTATTACCTCAATCAAGGAGGTCATGTTTAAGTTAGCGGTGGTTAGTTAGTTAGCTAGTTAGTTCGCTTGTTTGCTCGTCAGCAGGACAACTCGGACAGTTATGAACAGAGGCGTGTCTAAGCCTAGCTCAGAGTCCATTCAATTTTAGTGATTCGGCTCATGATCCGGATCCAGGACTTTTTAAAGGATTGCATCAGTGACCCCGTTATATTGGCAATAGGGGCAGCTGCTATTAAATTTACAGACGCCGTCCGTGTACTTGAGAAAGAGGTGGTTTTAGTGTGTCTTCGTGTGAATGTTTTATTGCATTAGTGACTCTATTGCCTTGGCGGAGGCAAGCGCTCTCTGAGGGCTTCTAGTTAATATTGTTATTATTGTTGTTATTGTTATTATCATTGCTAAAATTATTATTATTACTATTAGTAGTAATAGTAGTAGTAGTAGTAGTAGAATTAGTGTATCATCAATATCATTATATTCACCTTATTCATCATTATTATCATCATAAGTATTACCATCAGTACTGCTATGACGACCAGTACTGATGTCATTATTACTATCATTGCTACTACCATAATATGATTCGGTCAACGCTTCCACTTTCCAGAGATTCGAACACTTCGTCCAGTCAACGAGACAACGTTGGAAATTCTCGAAGGTTCGGACAATTTATGCCTCTGGCAACTCTCCTTTTCCTTGTCTAGAGCGGTTATTTTTAGCTCTCGTTTAGCACTTTCCTCCTGTTGTCGCTGCTCTTTTTATTATTACTGCGATTACTGTTGTTGCTATTACTATCATCATTTTTATTATTGCTACTTTATTGTTTTATTGCTACTGCTACCACCCCTCATCATCATCATAAACATTACTATTACTACTATTGTCATTACCATAAACGTCATTTTGGTTCTGGTTATCATTATCGTTTATGATTATTATTATTAATATCATTATTATCATTGTCATTATTGATGTCAGTATTACTGTTTATAATTAGTGTCCCTTTTATTATTGTCACCATTGCCATTATCATTATTGTTATTATTATCATTATTATTATTATTATTATCATCATCATCATTATCAATAATAATAATAATAATAATAATTATTATTATTATTATTATTAACATTATTAATATTATAATCATTATTATTAGTATTATCATTATTATTATTATCACTAATTATTATTGTTATGGTTATTATTACCATTAATACAACTGCTACTACTAATAGTAATGATAAAGATACTGATATATAATCGTCATTACCACCATCATTATTACTATTAATATCATTACCATTATCATAATTTCGCTAATGCCATAACTATTTTATTTTATCTTCCATTACACTAATCAAACACCTGTTCTTATTTTCACAAATATTTTCCTTTCTCCTTCCCTCTCTTCTCCTTAGCTATGCAGGAGAATGTGCACAAAATACAAGTTATTGTGAACAAACGGCGCATTAGCATATACCTGAATGACCAAGAGGTGAGTTGGCAGTTCAGTTGTTGCTTCTCATATTGCTCGGAACTGATCTGATTTTAGGCAAATCGTGTTTAGTTATTTGCTTGTGTCTTCTCTGATATATCGGCCAGTGTATCTTCAGCTATATGAATTTTATTTGCTCTATTCACGTGGCTAACTGTTATGTATCTTCTGTGGGCTTGGAAGTGGCTTTCCGTGCACTTATGTCTGTCTGTTGATCTTTTCATTATGTCATATTGATATTTGTTTAGCATGATTTCACTAATTGATATATTTTTTCATATCGGTATATATACAGTATTCATCAAAATAGTAATTATTTGTTATTAACATCTATTCATCATAAATGTACATTTATCAAGCGAATGTGATTTCGAGCAAGAGTCTGCAACAGGTCTACGAGAAAAGCGGGAGGGTCGGCGCAGCTGCGAGGACCCACTCCGGCGTGCACGTGGTGGCGCTGCACCCCCTCCGCGGCCACGTGATGCTCGCCAGGCAGTTCCTCACGCACCAGCCCGCCGAACACAGGAACCTGGCGGCGTGCCTCGACTCCCTCATGCCGGGCAACATCCTCATTGCGGCTGCGGTGGTGAGTTGGCCTCCTGTCTGTCTGGCGTCTCGTTATCCTCATCGTGATTTTCTTTCGGGGCCGGTAACTCCCACTGGTTCTCAGCCCCTCCGTGTCCTTCCAGCCCGACGCGGTCATGTTCCTGGGCCCCGACGCCGTGGCCCGCCTGGAGGAGATGGGCGCCTCCAGGATCCGCCATCTCGCCCGGCACGAAACCTGGGTCATGGTGGCCCACACGCCCGTCCGCGCCCCAACGCCTCCTCGCTACCGCTATCCTGTACTTCAACCGAACGTAACGGTTCCAGCGGTGAGGCGAAACAAAACTTTATTCTGAAAATACATTTAGAGATATGCATTGGTCTGTTCCCATAGGCAGTCTGGTCCACCTGCTGTTAAGCGTCATCATTATCTCGCAGAAGCCGCTGGGGAGGGTGTGGGGGGAGAGCGTGGCTGTGCGGTCGCTGGAGAGGGAGGGAACTTCTGCCTTCGTCGACTTCGGCGCCTTCGTCCCCAAATTCCCAGGTATGTGGCGGACCGGATCATATGAATGGTAATTGGGGAATAAAGGGGAGACACAAATGATATTGCATGTGCTGTTGCAGCTGCGCAGTGCGACTGGCACCAGGAGGAAACCCTGAAGGATCAGAGGGCGTTCTGTGATCGTTACGACGGCTACTTCCGCCTCTGCAAGTGCCAGGACCCGCTCACCCCCGCCCTTAGGCACTCCGCAGTAAGTGTGTTCCGTAGCAGACCTCAGGGAAGTATTTGCTTAAAACTAATGTTGATTCAGTTCAGACCGCTTCTCTCGTTTCAACTTTTTGCTTAAATATTATTTAGGAATGCAAACCTTTCCTTCATAACCATAAGCGCAATCGAAAATGAAATTTGGCAATCTTTAACAATTTTCCAATTCCAGGAAAAGATAGAGATTCGAGAAGTCATTCCCCTGGCGATGCTGACGGCCGTCAAGCCCTTCAACTTTTACAGGTAGGTAGTCATGCAAACCCCTCATAGTCGCAAATAAATCATTCTAACTTTCCAAAATATTTCCAGCGTCACCGTAAAATTCGTGTGACGGACCCGAAGAAAGCATATGAAAAAATAACAGAACGAATGCCTTCGCCAGGCAGCTTCTGAATGTCCTGGAAACCCCCGGAGCCGCGCAGACGCCCATCCTGGTCCTCGTGGACGGCTTCCAGAGAGAGATCATCAGCCTAACGAAGCTCTTCGGGTGAGTTTCCCCGCAAATAAAACTGAGAATGGTTAGAACTGATCTTCTGTGTCTAAAATTTACAAAATAAGAACATCAATACGTAATTAGGTACATTATCATCATATTTTCCCATCTCAGGTTGGACGTCTTGGTGCACAGGCCTCAGGGAGAGAAGGGCTCGTCAACTCTCCTCAACATGCACTTCCGGTAAATCCTGATACCTGATACCAATAGTTCTTTAGCTTTTAGAGTCACGGATCCCTTGAAGAAATTGAAATTTGATAGCCTTATACATATGGTTTAAACGAAATATTATTAAAGTTTAAAGTAAACAATATAAAACAAATACTCATTTTGATGCAAAAAGTTTAGCTAATATAAATATCATCTGACCCTCACGAATCCCCCTATCCATGGACCCCATGGATAGGGGGATTCTTGCCTTGTGTGTTCATATTGATTGCATTCCTTAATGACCCGCACCACGCTTCTAGATTTCGCTGCTCCTTGTCAGGTTCTCCGTGCACAATGTCTTCAATTTCTTCCCGGGAGCGAAAAAGGCCATCATCTTGGAGGACGACTTGCTGCTCTCGCCTGACTTCTTATCGTGAGTCTTGCTTTGTTTCCCGATTAATTGAATTGAGAGAAAAAAATCTAAGCGGTATATATATACTGTATATATATCTGTTTGTGTGTGTGTAAACAGATCTCCATGTCTCGAACAGGTTCTTCCAGCAGACGGCGTGGCTGCTGGACGAAGACCCGACCATCGCGTCCGTGAATGCTTTCTCCATCAACAGCTTCCCCGAAGTGGCCTCCGACCCGACCGTCCTGAGGAGAGTGGAGCTCGTCCCGCAGTTCGGCTGGCTCGTCCGGCGGAAGTGGGCCGAGGAGGTCTACGAGGCGTGGGTACCCGAGGGGGTAAGTGACACTGTTGGATATTTTCATTTTTAGCTATTATTTTCCGATTTATATTTGTCGCTATGTTCTCTTTTCTTTCTGTCTGTCTGTTTTTTTCAGACTCGCTCGTTTCCCCTCTTTCTCCATCTTTTCTCAATCATCACCTAAGATTATTTTCTCTGTCAATTTACTTACTTAATTATTTCCCTTTTTCAGTTTTCTTCTTTTTCTTTTAGTAAATGCAGAGGAAAACTACAATCCATTTCATATTTCTTGTTTAAACTAAGATCTGAAGCAAATATCCAAAAGATTAGTCATCACAACGCCACATACTTTTGGTCGTCAATCTACGCTGTTTCTAAGAACATAATCCTGGCTCTAAAACACCAGAACTTTTTTCCATCCGTCTTCGAGTTCCGCTGGAATTTAAGGTTTTCCGCGCGTGTTGCGTGCATGCGGAGCACTTTTTGGCCGAGGGACAGAGCGACCGCTTTCGTCTAACTAATTTCCGTTTTCATCGTGTGCTGCGGATCATCAATACTTCTTGGTTGTTTTTATCGATAAATGAATCGGAGAAATTGGTGTAAACATAACCTATTATCACAATGTTCCTTTCTACCATATAGTTGCCTCCTTTACATAATGATAGTATCAAAGATGACGCAGTATGTATGTGGCTCCAAACCAACCGCCAGGAGACGGCCGACTGGGACTGGTGGCTCTTCAAGGAAGTCCCGCGGAAGCAGAGGGACACGCTGGTTCCTGAGGTGAGCCGAGTCATCCACGCCGGGTCCTCAGGGGCTCACGTCACGGGCTACGCGCAGGAAAACACCTTTAATCACATGGTTTACAACGAGGATCCATACGTGACGCTTGAGAACCTCGAAGAGTAAGTCATTGGGGCTCAAACAAGACTGGAATTTATTGTGTATATAGGTAAATAAAGAACAAATATATAAACAAATCTTATGTATATAATGATGAACTAATTTATGTACGCTATTTGTTGCATCTATGCCTCTTCCTTTATTTATCATGTTCTGATACGCTACACCATACACGGTAATCTTATTACGAATAACAGTCATATGCATGGCCCTTCAGTCTGACCAAGGAACGCTACGAATACCTAATCCGACAAGAGATACTCCGTGCTGTCACCCTGACCTTGACTTCATCGCCCTGTGATGGACCCATGCTCCCCGAAGAGCAGGTGAGGTCGGAGCATATACTTTTGGTGTCCAAGCGAACGCAGGGGACGGGTCCATAAGGGGCGCATACGTTCTTAGCCATAGGGTGGTGTGGAAAGACGGCTGGTTCATTTCCGTCCCGACTGTGACCCCAGCATGATGATGCCAGCACTCAGTCACAATTGAGAGGAATATCCCAGCTTATACCCCTACCAGAATATAAGTAAAGATTGAATTAGTCCGGAATAATCTCCAGTGTATGATTGAGTCTAGCCTTCTCTACACCTCCGGGTATAAAGTAGGCAAGTCTAAACTTTACTTCCAGGCCAGAATGCACCATGGTACAATAGCAAAACTTTTTTCTGAACCATTCCTGCCATGTGATGTCTCCAGTCTACTTTTGTTGCGGTGGATAAACAACCTGGCTAAAAAGGGGAATAACAGACAATATAATCAGGATTATTTTTTGCATGCAAGATAAGCGTTTGTTACAAGTGTTTTAAGGATACTATTAAGAACTGACCGGATAATATAGCTGAAATCAATTGATCTGTAAATGTCCATCTTTTCGTATCTTAAATATCAAATTTCTGATCCTCAGCCCGGTCCATTTAAGCTTTTCGTAGAAATCGAGACGAAAAATGATGAATACGAGAGTTTCTATGTCATGCAAGCGGTATGTATCGTCTTGTTTTTGCGTGGATTGATGACACAGTAGAGAATAAACGAAAATTCTACAATCATTTCTTTAATTGGATGTACCTAACTTTTGACACTTTTTCGAACTAGATAGATAGATCTAATAGTAATTCATAATAATAATGATGACAATAACTTCAGTAACAATAATAAAAGCAACTTCGAATAGTGCATTCCCTTAATGTGTCAAAATTTGCAAAATCTATTGTTTTTCCATAAGTAGGCTCATTAGAAATAAAATATTTAGGTATTCTTTTATCACCTGTTTGTACCCCATTTCCCCCTGAAGTGCTTGCGCGCCTACCCCGAAGAGGCCCGTGAGGTGTTCCGGGGGGTCCTGCGCTACAACCTCCAGGGCCGCCTTCTCTACGTCGTGGGCTGCCCCCTCTCTCCCTACTGGTGGGTTGGTCCCTTTTCTAAGGCCAAAGGCACTACAGATAACATTAGCAACAAAATATGTTTAGATAAATAAGCTGTTGTCTGCTGGATAGTTCTGCTATTATTTCCCTTTGATATATCAAAAGTGTAGGTGTGTTATGCTTACGTTAGCATATGTCATAGAAATAGAGAAGATAAAAGCGTAGGTTTAAATAAATGAGCCAAACCAGAGCTACAAAACAACGAGGCCTCCTGTTCCTTTTCGACGCCCAATCGCCCACATCGAATCTCGTTCCAGCTCGATGTTTTCCGACGGCTACCGCTTCCTGAGGCCTTCCCCGTGGCTGGTGGACTCGGCGAGCCAGCGTCGCGCGCGAGTGGCAGACCAGGAACTACCCGCCGTACTTCGTGGAGCGCCGTCGACCCGTTTCGCCCGAGGAAGAATTTCGGATGGAGAACCTGATCTACTTTTATCGGAAGGGGAAGGGCGCGGACAGGAAGTCTGCGTGAAAGGAGGGTACTTTCGATAAGAGTGACCTTGCAAGGGTTGAGCATAGTGTTAGCCAGTTGAAGTATTGTGAATATATATACAACAACACGCAGACGCACACACAACGATTATATTCATATATATATATATATATATATATATATATATATATATATATATATATATATATATATATATATATATATGTACGTCGATTCATATATGACATAGCATATGAACACAAAAACACAAAGTGTCACAATCACAGAGCGGCAAGGCCAGATTCAATAACAGGAGATTAAAATAGTTTTCTTTTGACCATTGACACGACGCTACTCAATGTGGCAGATGGCCTGTAGCCTTTTGGGACCACTGTAATATAATATCGGTGGTTTCTTGTGAATGTCATCCTTCCCTTTATTTTGTCCTTTTTGGAATAATTGCAAGAATTGTTTGAAAAAATGATGACCACGTCTCTGCACATTACTAATTACGATGCACCGTTATATGATTATTTACTCCCATTCATTATTCAGACCTCGACACTTAGTATCGATAGATTCTTCTTATCCTCTGGTACCCATGCATGTAGGAATTGTGCCGCGGAACCCCCATACCCCACATTTCTTTGCCTTGAAAGCAGGGGAGGGTATGAATATGATATACACCGAATCAGTCACTATATTGTCGAATGCACGGGGCTGTGCCCTCTGCGACCACCCCCTAGGGGTCTGCCGCCCCCATTCCACGCCCAAGAGAATAAAAAGTCTACCACATCTGTACGGCAGGAAAGAGCCGTGAATACGTGGAGGATTCTTTGCCTTCCATTGCGGGGTTGGTGGGACCGGGGGGGCACAGTCCCCTGCATTAGATAATATAATGAATGATTTTGCGTATATCATTCATATCTACCATATAATTTCCTTTGTGCCTTACATTCTCCCCTGCTATCAGGGCCAAGACTGCCGCTAATGGGGGCATTAGTTCGATATGTTTAGATGGGGAGTGACAGGAATCGATATGGAAATCGATACGATCGGTATACGAAGGTTTTATGTAGAAATACCGTTTCATGAAGAAGTCGGATCTTAGAAGGCGTTCCTCTGAATTGACGTTTTATGGATAAAAAGCAACTTTGGTTTTCTTTGAAAACTCATGCACTTTTATCATTATCACCATCGTTATGTTCTGTTATTATGAATACCACTACTAATACAGTAACTACTGCTGCTACTACAATGATACTGATAAAGATAATGATAATAGTGATGATGATTATGATAATGACAATGGCGTTATCATTACCATTATCATTATTGCTATATTGTTACTGTTATTATCCTCATTATTGTTATATATTTTTTTATTATTATCATTGCTGTCATCATTATCGTCACCACAGCCATCACCACTATTGCCACCATCATCTTCATCGCTATAGTGTGTTTTTGTTGTTATTATCATTATTATTATTATTATCATCATCATCATCATTATCCTTACCATTATTACTATTGTTATTGATGATGATGCATTGTTGTTATCACTGTAACTGTTATTATCATTTTTGTTTTTGTTCATATCATTATCCGTTTTTTTATTAACCTTACTGTATTGTTTCTATTTTTATTCATATTATTTGTTCTCAATTTCTTCATTGTTAATATGATTTAATGATGATGTCGCTATCCCCACCATTATGATTTAATTTCTAATATTCTGGTGTAGAAAAGTTTCTAATGTCACGCAATTTATGAATATATTTGATGATGATTTGTAGTATCAATGGATTATGATCTTTATGATTATGCGAATATTTAAAAAAGATCCTTGCCATTGCAGCCCATCACTTAGTATTCACATTTGATAATTGTTTACATAAGAAAACAGACGGTGTAGCGATGGGATCCCCATAGGCCTTTCTTGGGCCAATGCA